TCTGCACCAGGTGGGGCAGCCTGAGGACCCTGGGGACATTGGGGATGTTGGGGACATTGGGGATGTTGGGGACGTTGGGGACCGTAGGGATGTTGGGGACGCTGGGGACATCAGGCCAGGGAGGGGGATGGGAGGGGAGGGACATCAGGGAGAAGGATGGGGACACTGGGGACAGCAGGGATGTTGGGGGCAGGGAGGGGAACAGGGATATTGGGGACAAGGGACATGGGGGAAGGGATGGGGACATTGGGGACATCAGGGGACACTGGGGACAGGGAGGGGGATGGCAAGGGAGGGACATCAGGGAGAAAGGATGGGGACTTTGGGGACAGGGAAGGGGACGTTGGGGACAGGGAGGGGCATTGGAGTACTGGGGACAGGGACATCAGGGACAAGGATGGGGACCCGGGGGACAAACAGGGCTCAGCCCCACCTTGTCCCACAGGGGTCCTTGGGGACAGGGACATCAGGGAAGGGGACATTGGGGACAGTGGGGGGGTTGGGGACAGGCAGGTGGCCTCAGCCCTGTCCCTGCAGGTACCTGGGTAAGGCGGATGCCACCATGTCCATCCTGGACGTGTCCATGCTGACCGGCTTCACCCCCGACCTCCAGGACCTCAAGAGGGTGAGTGTGGGGACACGGGGACGTGTGGGGACACGAGGGGGACATGGGGACACATGGAGGGGGAACACCAGGGGGATGCTGTGTCTTTGTGCCACCATGTCCCACCATGTCCCCACATCTCCCAAGTGTCCCCTTCCATGTCCCTGCCCCCTGTGTCCCTGTGTGTCACCTGTGTCCCTGTGTGTCCCTGTGTGTCCCTGTGTCACTGCCTTTCCCTCCACGGCCACATGTCCCCCGTGTCCCCTGGTGTCACTGTTCCTGTGTCCCCATGTGTCCCCATGTGTCCCTGTGTGTCCCTTGTCCCCCACCATGGCCATGTGCCCCTGCATGTCCCCACGTGTCCCTGTGTGTCCCCATGTGTCCCCACGAGTCCCCATGTATGCCTGGTGTCACCATGTCCCTGTGTGTCCCTGTGTGTCCCTGTGTGTCCCCATGTCCCTGTGTGTCCCTGTGTTTCCCTGTGTGTCCCTGTGTGTCCCCATGTCCCTGTGTCCCCAGTGTGACAGTGTCCCTGTGTGTCCTCATGTCCCTGTGTGTCCCTGTGTGTCCCCAC